TGCTTACACTTGCTAGGTTGTGATCACTGTATTGCTTGTTCTCCTTTATATAACTCTGCATGTGAACTGGCCTTGTGGCCATTTGCTTGTGCTCAGAATGCGTGGTGACGTCGTGATCCACCCTGAGCTTGCTTTGCCTTTCTTGACTGGTCTTGTGACCTCTTGTTCTCCCCCACTTTGCCTATGGGGGTGTGTCAAACTTATATGCTATAGCTTGTGTAGGCTGTAGTGGGGTAGCCCATATGGGGTACAACCCAATTAGGGTTAGTACTTGTACCCATCCTGCTGTTAGTCAATCCATTCCTCGTTCTATCTTTCACAAGCTCCAGTACAACCTCTGTCCCTTGACCAGCTGATGAAGTGCGGAGTCGGCCTGCAAGCAACCGAAAACGAACTCCACTTAATATATGACGGAATCTTCATCGGAAAGGCGACAAGCATAGAAGGAGTATTTGTACTCGACTTTGAGTCACCCAAGACCTCCGGCGACAACCAACACATCCTCGTCCTTGATCCACCCGGTCACCCGTCACCGCCAAGGTGGAGCCATCACGAAGAAACCGACTACCAGCAGCCCGGACTCGACGGAACGTTCCGCGCACTCGCCGTACCCGTCGCCTCGACCACGAATCCTGCGGATACTGGACCACAAGCAGTGGAAGAAGGAGAAGAAATCACATTAGAAACGGCAAACGCGGAAGTGGGAGGATTCGCACGAGCAATTTGGCCTCGCGTTCAACATCATACTGGCTGGAACACCACTGAAGGTTGGGACGCTGTGGACGCTCGCTGGGTGATGGAAAACACTGCGCTGGGAGAAGCCGTTGCGGCTGAAACAGGATGGGGAAACATTGCCGAAGGACCTGCAGCAGAGGAAGCAGAAGTAGAAGAAGAACCGGAAGTCACTGAGGAAGCTCCAGAAGCAGAAGAAGAAGAATCGCTGACGGAGTACGCCCCTCACCTCCTTCCGATCACAACGGACGGGAGGGATTACCTTCGCATCGAGGCAAGGGGAGCGGCGATAGGCGACACTGACTTCGAAGAAGGAGAGATCACGCAGCCTGAAGACTGCCGCCCACCCGTCTCGCCGCCGCCTCCCAAAGGACCACTGGAGCTTCCGGTGACGACCGACACTTCCACCATCGACGACAGCAGCGGAACATACCACGGCACAACACTCCAAGCAGCGGCAGTCCAAGTTACCGTGCCCGACGAGCCTGCAGAACAAGTCGGGAACGAAACCGCAGAAGCAATATTAGCACGAGAAAAAGAGATCTACGCACGCACAAAAGGATATCGCGCCGACGGAGACATCTGGCACAAGCGATTCGGGCACCCATCGATTGAAGTGCTCAACAACTGCATCAACGCAAACGTCTTTGCGGCAGCCGCACTGTTGCTGCCAGATGGAAGGCTACTCAAGCCAAGGACCGACTTACCCAACTGCACAGTCTGCCCAGCAGCTGCACTACGCCACACGCCCTTCGCCGAAAAGATCCCTGGAGCCGAACGCTACAAGCCGCTGGAGAACGTTTTCAGCGATTTTCTGGTACTCACGGCGAAAGGGGTTGAAGGGGAGCAGTACACCCTTACCTTCATCGACGCCGGCACGCGCTTCGTGTGGGCCGTAAACGCCAGCAACCGCTATCTTGCATACCAGTGTTTCGAGGTCTGGCTAAGCATGGCGGAGACACAGAGCGACGGACAGAAGCTGAAGGCATTTCAGACAGACGGAGCCCTGGAGTACCAGACGGAGGACTTCAAAACCCTCTGCAATCAAAAGGGAATCAAGAGGATGATTTCCCTCCCCTACACTCACGAGCAGCAGGGATTGGCAGAGCGTTCCAACAGGAGCCTCGCGACAAAAATGCGAGTCCTCATGAAGCAGTCGGCTGTGCCAACCAAATATTGGCCTTTTGTGATGGCGCATGCAGTTCGGCTGCACAACATGCTTTCCTCGAAAGCGCTGCCCAACAACACCTCACCTTTCAAGGAGTGGACCGGAAAACACCCTGACACACGCATGCTGCGGGACTTCGGGTGCATGGTACAGTACCGCCCCCACACTGCCCGGACCGGAAAATTTGAAGATCGCGCCCGGTGGGGCATCCACCTCGGAATCGAATCCGAATACCATGCCTGGACAATTTAGGACTTCGCCACCCACCAGCTCACGCGTTCACGTGACTGCATCTTCTATGAAAGGCTGACCCTGCCACTGTACCGACAGCACCGCACTGCACAGGACGCACCGGACAACGTTTTTCAGGGACAGCACAGCTATGCCAATGACGAGGACGACGTCGACGTGGCAGGAGAACAGCCAGACGAGGCCACAGAGGATGAGGCACCCTTCGTCCCCGTTACGGAGCAGTTCGGCACACCCACATTCTTTCCGGCGGAAACTGATCCACATGAAGCAGTACAGGCACAGCACGATTATGCAAGTGCAGAAATGCACTCACCCATGAACGAAGACCCCGCTCGCAATTCCTCTCGCGACACTGTTCGCGATATCCCTGGCGACGACGACGACGTGATTGAAGTTACCAACGCAGCCGAATCCAACCTCACAGGCCTTCGCATCCTTGGACTCGCTATCGCAGTTCGGGGTAACCAGCAGCTGGTCGAGCCCACCACCGTTCGCCAGGAACTCAGTGGGCCCGATGCTGAGAAGTGGAGAGCCGCCATGGCCGCAGAAGTCGCTGCACTCCAGCGACGTGGCACCTGGAAGCTGGTACCTCGTCGACACGCAAAGGGGAGGAAAATTCTTACGGGAAAATGGGTCTTCAGGATTAAAAATCTCGCGGATGGGACTATTGACAAGTACAAAGCACGCTGGGTTGTCCGCGGATTCGAACAGACTCAATTCGTGGACTACGATCAAACATTCGCACCTGTTGGCCGCCACACCTCCGTGCGGATTCTCCTTTGCATCGCTGCCGTGAAGCAGCACCCCCTCCGCAAGATCGACGTCTCCAACGCCTTCCTCTACGCGATCGTCGACGCCATCATCTACGTCGAGCAGCCGCACGCCTTTGAGGAAGACGGCGACGCCATCTGCCTCCTCCTGAAGTCCCTGTATGGCATCAAACAGGCGCCCCGCCTGTGGCAGCAGTACCTCCACACAGTGCTCATCGAGCTCGGCTTCCAGCAACTTCCCCACGATCAGGGGATGTACCGCCTCGAGTTCCGCGGCCACTTCATTCTACTCGTCGCCTACGTGGACGACCTTCTCTACACCGGAGACAACGCGGAGCTGCTCGATCGCTTCGAACGCGACATCCAGGAGGAGCTGGAAGTGACCATCGATCATGAGGTCACACAATTCCTCGGCCTCAACGTCACCCAGACCGCCGACACGATCCACCTCTCCGCCGCAAAATACGCCGAGACCCTCGCCAAGAAGTTCGGCATCGCTCCCATCGGCATCACCACCCCGTTTCGCACTCCTCCGCCTAACCACGAGCCCGATACCACCCCGCTATCCCCGGCCGACCATCGTCTCTACCAGCAGCAACTCGGGTGCCTACTGTTCGCCGCCGTCACATGCCGCCCGGACTTATCTTACATCGCCAGCCAGCTCGCCCAGTACCTGCGTCGACCTGAAGGGGAGAACCTGGCAGACCTGCGCCGCGCCCTACAGTACTTCATCTCTACGCCCGATGTCGGCCTCACCTACACAGCGAACCTCACGGCTACTCTATAGCTTACTGGCTACGTGGATGCGGACCACGCTGGGGACGCAGATAACAGGAGGTCCCGCACATGCTTCATTTTCAAACTTGAACCTGCAGGAACCATCTCCTGGAACTCACAGAAGCAGGAACTCATCGCCCTCTCGTCAGCAGAAGCAGAATTCATCGCAGCAAGCACAGCAGTTCGCGAAGGACTCTACCTCACGGAACTCCTACAGGAAACGAAGACGGCGATGAACGGGTCCTTCAAGTTACTATGCGATAACCAGAGTGCGACCAAAATCGCAAACAAGCCAGGCTTCGTCAACCGCACGAAACACATCGCCCTGCGTTACTTCTTCGTCAAGGACGAAATCGACAAAGGGAAGGTCCAGCTCACCTACTGCCCGACTGGCGAGATGGCAGCTGATTTTCTGACGAAGAAACTGCCACGTCAGAAGTTCCAGTACTGCTCGGACCTGTGCGGAGTCGTCCGAAAGAGCCACGTGGCGCACCTCCAGGAATGAAGGTGAGCGTTGGAGTATGAAGGGAATTACACTTAGCATTCCCGTAGGCGCAGCAGTATCGCACCAGTCCCTATCGAAGCAGCAACAACAGCAGTATCGGATCAGCCCGTAACAAGGGCAGGAAGGTCAACAGTCGCAAGAGTCAATTGTCGCGACTGTTGACCATCTGGACCGACGATTGACCTACCATCGAGGAATGGCAACAGGCGTAACCGTACGTACAGGTTACATGCAGCGACTCGGTAACAAGAAAGTAGTGCAACAGTCAGAGTCACTGTAGAAATGTCTGTAAAGCAGTTAGAATAAGGGAATGTACCCCTCAGAGTACATGGCTAGCTAGAACTATTTATTATGTGTGTAATATTTGCTTTAATCAACTTTGTCATTTACATTTACTATGATCAGAGTTCCTACAACAAGACTTCCGCTACCAAACTCTTCTAAGGCATTCCTATCCTATCCAAGGTCCTCACTCTAACAATTATAATCCCCAAGCCCACACCTCGGCGCCAGCATCCCAACGAGTGACCGTTACCATTGTTTCGATACTTCATGTTCACATGACTTCGCTACAGTGTATCCTTGCCTCGTTTGTGCAAGCAATCCTCACCTGCTCGTTCAATTGCACCACCTCAACAACCAGCTTGTTTGTTCCCATGCGGCTTCAGTGAGCCTCATCTCGAACATGGAATGGACCCACACTGGCTGGCTGACACATCCGACAGCAGACCATTTTGTATAGAAATGCTCAATTGACCGGGTAACCCAGATAATCAAGTCACCGTAGGTTGCATAATTACCATGAAACCTTAATTCCTCCCTCACCACCCACATCAGGACCCCGACCACCCTCACCACCCGCTGAACCCTCTCCAACCACCTCCAACTCCTCCCTTTGCCCAAACAACTTCTCATAAGCAGTCTCTTGGGGAATACCCTCGCTTTCGTCCTCAACTGCCCTCTTCTCCAACCCTTCGAGAAACTCCATAGTGAGGATATCCGGCCACGGTGCCCCAAAGGGAGCCTCAGAACCCGCCACCCAGCCAAGATGGCCCCCGTGGGATGTCCCCACAAGCATGGTGAGGGGGTTTTTCTGCAAGGCAAGAGGAATCAGAGAATGAATAAGCAAAGAAGCCATAGTGAGTATATCCGGCCACGGGGCACCGAAAGGAGCCTCAGGACTGGCCACCCAGCCCAGATGGCCCCCGTGGGATGTGCCAACAAGCATGGTGACGGGGTTTTGCTGGAAGACAAGAGGAAACAGGGAGTGCATTAGAAAGAAATTGTTGAGAAGAACAGAAGTTTGATACGTCTTAATTCCACACGGCATTCTTGGGATGTGCTCACACACTTCCCACAAAAAGTCTCTTCTGGAAGGCAAGAGAAAGCAGGTTGTATGTAAAAAACAGAGAGTTTACAGGGGCATGCATCAGCATATCAATGGCGTCCAGACAGGTGCCGCTGCACGCCATCCTCACCCAGTGCTGCTCTAGCACACTTAAGGATGCGCTGTGAGCAGGAACTGACAACCCCGGGCATGTAACATTACCCCTATTGTTACATGCGTTACATTACCATAGTGAATTGTTACCACCATGTGAGCCTCACCTCCTTGCCTTTGCTCTGCATTGTTTGCACTTAGTGTACACCCAACGACTCAATTAAATCGTACAACAAAGTGATACACCGCCATGCAACCACATCCATCCACATACCATCACATCAGCAGCAATGTCTGTGTGAAAGTGCAAAACAGCACTGTGACGGTAGGTAGGTACCTCGATAGCCTCATATTGAATTTCATCTGCGGTTGACCTTTGAGTCAACTCAAAGGTCACCTCGCCTCACAGAAACAGCACGTTACCTCAACAGCCTCATACGGAATGCCCTCTGCTGGTGCGATGGGATCATCCATAGCCTGGCAGCAACGACTCTAGAGCTGACTCGAAAGTCACATGCCATCACATGCCATCACATGCCATCACATGCCATCACATGCCATCACATGCCATCACATGCCATCACATGCCGTCACAAGCGGTACCAATGTCAAAGTGCAAAACAGCACTGTGACATTACCTCGATAGCCTCATACGGAACGCCTTCTGCTGGTGCGATGGGATTATCCAAAGCCTGGCAGAGATGACTCATAAGCCGACTCAAAGGTCACCTCGCCTCACAAAAACAGCACGTTACCTCGATAGCCTCATACGGAATTCCATCCGCAGGTGCGATGGGATCATACAAAGCCTGGCAGAGGAGAGAACGCACAGACGCAATAGTGGGGCATCGGCATCGATGACGAACAAACATGGCCAAAGAAAAATGGATGCGAGGGTTAAACAAGATGGAAACAAGAGGGAAGCAAGGATACGAGAAACCAGAGTTGGTCTGGTTTCTGAGTGTGAGGAGCTGGCACTGGCGTGATTCATGTGAAGGGTTGCTAATAATGCATGAAGTGCCTCAAGCAATGATTTCTGCTTGAAGGGAGCAAGGCCATTTCTGATGATTAAAACGAGACGTTGACAACCGAGCCTTTTGGTCTTTCTTATTGCATCCGAGAACAGGACAGCTGAGAGCAATTCACCTGAACGCACAGCAGAGGCAAGCGCACGTCTTTGATGCTTCGGCTGCTGCTGGCATCGCTGTAATAGGCGTCCACTGTGGGATAGCCGAATGACACTGACGTGGAGCGGTGGGATAGGAGAGACAGAAAGAGAAAAGGGTTTTACATCATGGTGACAGGGTGGGGCTCACATCATTGTGAAGCGCACTCATCAACGGTGCGTTTCATTCGGAAAAGAGTCAAGGAACACTAAAGCAGCGTGGTGAGAGGAACGAGAAGTGCAAACAAAGGCAAAGGGACAGTCCTGCACAGTCCCTGCCACCCTCCCACCCACCTTACACGGGCCCCACATTTAAGTCTCAAAATGTTTTGGCCCTTCCCACATCTGTATGCCCCACATCAGAAAGCCTTACAGTCAGCCTCACAGTTGTCAGCCCCTGTGTCCCTGTGTCCCTGTGTCCTTGTAATGATGTACCTCGCGTGAGGCCCACGTGGCCCACATCCAACTCCCTGCTGCCCCACCCCATCCCCCAACCCACCTCGCGTGAGCCCCCCACCCACCTCGTGTGAGCCCCACGTCAAAGTCACGCACAGTCTTGGCTCGTGCAACGAGCTCTATGCGTCACATCCGTAAGCCTCACACCTGTAAACCCCCTATGTCAGTGTAGTCTTGTACCCAACTCCCACCCCATCCCACCCACCTCGTGTGAGCCCCAAATCAAAGTCACGCACAGTCTTGGCTCGTGCAACGAGCTCTATGCGTCACATCCGTAAGCCTCACACCTGTAAACCCCCTATGTCAGTGTAGTCTTGTAACCAATGTTGGTGTTAGCCCTCAATCTCACACTTTGTACTTTATATTTTCTATATCCTAGAGTAGTTTGCACTTTGTGTTTGGTTGGGTGTACACCTACATCCCAACCAAACCCAAATGTAATCTCCAAAGCAATCTCCAACCCACCAATTGGAGATCGCCTTGGGATTACCCCCAATCCCTAGGGATTGCCCCCGATTCCCTTCCCCATCCATTCCTTGCCCTTCTTGGATGTACTTAAAGAGCTTCAAGCTCATTACTAATGTATCAGTTCTAAGCCTCAGTTCTGACATGGTATCAGAGCCATTCAACCGCACACGCGGATGTGATCCTCTTATCTTTGCGGATGCTCGTCCCGCAAACCTCGGCGTAGCCACCTTCAATCTCGTCGCCGGTGATTCGCGACATTCGTGGGCGGAAATTCTCCCGCACCACCTTCCCGTCAATTCGACGACATCCACCTTATTTCTGGTAAGCGCATCGTGAGCGCCGTAACCTATCGCTCCTTTTCGTCGAACGTCATCGTGTCATCTCTTCTCCTCGTCGGGCCGTCGCCCCGCAGCTTCTCGTCGGGCCGCCGCCCGTCGCCCCGCAGCTTCTCGTCGGGCCGCCGCCCGTCGCCCCGCAGCTTCTCGTCGGGCCGTCGCCCGTCGCCCTGCAGCTTCTCGTCGGGCCGACGCCCGTCGCCCTGCAGCGTCACCTTCGGGCTGCCGCCCGTCGCCCCGCATCTGCACTTCTACCCCCATCCCCCCTTCCCGCAGCTGAACAGGTGCAGCAGCGCAGCCGAGCAGCAGCGTAGCCGTGAAGCAGAGCAGCCGTGTAGCCGCGAAGCTGAGGGTGGTGTGTGGGGGGGTGTGTGGGAATAGGGTTAGTTTTTATGGAAATCGGCCGATTTAACCTAATTTCGGCGGCCTGAAAAATCCTTCTACGAGGCATCCCGACGAGGTCGACATTGACGTTTTTTGCTATTTGGATCCGTCGGATTTCGAAGTTCCTATCGGTGACTTAAGAGCGGCGCTTCGCGCGAGACACCAAGGGGTCTTCATTATGGCCTTCACCTCGTCCACCATGGCCAACCCCATCACCCCACTCCGCCTTGAAGCCGATGGCTCTAGCTCCAACTTCAAAGCTTGGAGCTATGGGGTTGACAAGCACCTCCTGAGTCGTGACGTGCAGGGATTGGACCTCAAGGATGTCCTCCTCAACCGTGGCAAGGGAAAACAGCCCCCTCCCCCCCTTGAGCCGACTGAATCCGCTAGTGATACTGACATGAGGGCGTACGAGGAAACCGTTAAAAAGTACCGGAAATGGGAGAAGGCCGATGCTGCTATCATCAGCGTCTTCATCGCCTCCACCCCTCCCGAACTTGTCAACACGTTCCACAACTACCCTACCTCCAACGCCATCTGAAAGTATCTCCAGGATCGGTTCATGAACAAGACGGCGGTCGGAGTTGCCATTCTCATCCCCAACATGTTTCAAATCCGACTTGAGGACTGCTCGAGAATGGCCGACTACATTGCCAAGGTGCAGACCATTCATGGCGAACTCAAGGAGCTGGGTATAGTCTTCCATGAACAAGCCCCTGCAGCCGCCCTTCTTGTTGGTCTCACCTCGGCATATGAAGTCACGAGGAAGATGCTCCTCACACTCTCTGCGGAAGACCTCACCTTTGCTAAGGTCTCCACCGCACTCCTCTCTGCCGAGAAAGACTCCACGGCTCAGGCCAAGGCTTACCACATCCGCGCTCCCATGCCCCAAGCAAGTGTCGCAGCGGCCCTCGCCTCGGCGCCCTTCCAGCGCAACCGCTTCCCTCCGTGCACCTACGTCGTCAAGTATGGCAACCGCAAGGGACAAGTGTGTGGTGGCACTAACCACCCCCTTGCGACGTGCTTCAAGAAGAAAGATGACGAATGGTACGCCGTCCACGGAGTAGACAAGAAGCCGCCAAATTGGATGCGCCCTCGTAAGGCAAACCTAGTTGAGGTCCAGGACCCCGCTTCGGCTAATGCTAGTGATAATGTTCCTGCTGATGTGCGTATCAACCTCTTGTTCCCTGGCACCGCCATGATTAATGAAGCTACCCCTCAGTATATCGGCTCATCACAAGCACCACAATACATAGAGTTCACACTCGACAGCGGGGCCACTCACACTGTGCTCAAGGATACACTCTCCTTCAAACCCTACGCAACACCCATTCCTCTCTTGGGAGCTGACTCAAGCTTCACCACTCTTGCCAAGGGTACATCCACAGTCCCGTGCCCCGCCTTCCCATCCGGCACTGTCACTGGCATGTGCGTGCTTTCACTACGCCACAATCTAGTGGCTCAAACGGAAATTCAGGACGCAGGGCTACGCACCATCTTCTCGGAGAACGAGGACTATTGCGACATCATCGATCCACTCACCAACAAGATCTTGGCCCGCTTCACCCTCAATAGCAGCGGCCTCTACACGCTACGCGTCCCTCTCCCACAGGTGTCAACCATCCAAGCACAGGCTCCTATCACACCATGCTCATGTCGCAACCTCTCCAACCCGACCATCCTTTACCACCATCGGCTCGGGCACCCAAACTTCCGCACGCTTGCTGACATGGCTTCCAAGAAACTTCTTCTCGGCCTGCCAGCCGCACTTCCTCCACCACCTGACTCACCCGCTCCCACGTGCCTTGATTGCACCAAGAGCAAACTGCGCCAACAGCCCCATCTGCCTCACCCACAGTCGCAGCAGCACCACTTGACCTAGTGCACATGGACGTCTGGGGCCCTGCCCCTGTTCCCGCACGAGGTGGCCATCGCTACTTCCTTGCTATCGTGGATGACCACTCACGCTACGTCTCTGTTCACCTCCTCCACACCAAGGCTGAGGTTCCCGAGGTCATCATTGCGTGGGTCAAGCAGGCACAGACCACCTTTGACCGCAAGGTCAAGCGCCTTCACTCGGATGGGGGGGGTGAATTTTGCAACGACAAGCTCAAAGCCTTCTGCTCCTCAGAAGGCATCCAGCAAAACTTCACCCTTCCTGACAGCCCGCAGCAGAACGGCATAGCAGAGAGCCGCAACCACACCCTGGTGCAGATCACTCGGTGCCTCCTCAGCCATTCTAACGCTCCACTCTCCCTCTGGGGGTACGCCCTCTACCATGCCGCCCTCCTCTATAATCTTTACCCCCACCCGCATCTTTCTGACACCACTCCAACCACACTTTGGCTCGGGAAAACATCAACTGCCCGCTCTCTCCGCGTCTGGGGGTGCACCGCCTGTGTCCTCCTCAACCCGCAGGCCAGGCGGCAGCGCGGTGGCAAACTCGGTCCCAAGACTCAAACGTGCATCTACCTTGGGCACAACGCCGACTCCCCTGACTATCTCTTCCTCAACCCCTCCACTCGACAGTTAGTCCGGAGCCGCGACGTTGTCTTTGATGAAACCCGCCCGTCCATTCTACTCCACCTCGGGACCGGATCCTCCCTCCGATCCACCCTCTCTCGTGTGGGCGGACTTTGATGCGCTCCCTGAACTCCCGCCTGCACCGGCCCCCTCACCTCCTCCCTCTCCTGCCATCGCACCTTCCCCCTCTGAGGTCTGTGATCCGACCTCCCCGGTGTCTTCGGCATCCGCTCCTCCATCCCCCTCACCCCCCACTTCGCCAACTGCGCCGCCACCTCCGAGCGCACCTATCACATACCATCGGCGGTCACACCCTCCGGCCCCGCATCCTCCCCCAGTCCCCCCTTCCACTGAGGAACCCGCTCTCCCACAGTCGCCCGAGCTGATCACGTACCAGCGGCGGCCAATTCCCCCGCCCAAGCCTCCTAAATCAGCCCCTCCGACACCGCCTGCCCCACCCTCTTCTCCGGTGGCTCATGGCACTCGTTCGCACGGCTCTGCTCCCCCACTGGCACTGGCTATTCGCTGCTCAGCGATAACTCCGACTCCTCCTGCCGGGGGGGATGTACCCTCTACCCTTCTGGAAGACAGGCATGAGGAGCTGTGTGATCTTCACGCAGTCATTCCCCAGCTCTCGCACATCTTCCCCGACATTATTGAATCACCCTCACTCAACTTCACGGAGAACCCGACCATCCCTATCCCTCTCACCGTCCAAGAGGCTCTTTCGGGTCCCCATGCAGTTGAATGGCGTGCTGCCATGGAAGCTGAGATTGAAGCGTTCACTCGCAACCACTCCTTCGACGACGAGACTCCACCTCCAGGAGTCAACATCGTCGGGGGCAAGTGGTTGTTTCGAGTGAAACCGCTTCCGGACGAGGCCCCGGCGTTCAAAGCGCGTTATGTAGCCAAGGGTTTCACCCAGCAGCAGTACCACGACTTCTTCAAGACCTTCTCCCCCACATCCAAACCACCCACTGTTCGCACGCTCCTGGATGTAGCAGCACGAGAAGACTTTGAGATCAAATCCATGGACGCCTCATCGGCATTCCTACAAGGACACCTCAGGACACCTCAAGGAGACAGTGTTCATGGATAGACCTGAAGGCTTTCCAGGAGAATTCCCTCCCAACACTGTCTGGAAGCTGAATCGCCATGTCTACGGCCTCAAGCAAGCCCCTCGGGAATGGCACAACAAAGTGAAAGAAGTCCTTCTCTCACTGGACTTTCATCCATCTTCTGCCGACCCGACCCTCTTCATTCGTCGCCACTCTGAGCCATTCTACATCCTTGTCTACGTCGATGACTTCATCTTTGTTGCCAAGGACTCGACCCAGATGGCCTCTGTTCAGGAGGCCCTAAGCAAGGCCCTCTTGATGAAAGACCTCGGTGACCTCAAACACTACCTAGGGATGGAGATTACTCGCGATCGCCAGGCTCGCACCATCTCTCTTTCCCAGGAGCTCTACATCAGCAATGTGCTCAAGCGGTTTGAGATGGAGGTGTGCACACCTATAGCCACCCCACTGCAGCTGCAACACCTCCTCACCGCCCCAGCTGTACCCACCCCAGAGGCATGCACTGAGCCCTACCCAGAGCTTGTTGGGTCTCTCATGTACGCCATGATGTGCACCCGGCCTGACTTGGCATACCCTGTCAGTGTCCTCTCTCGATATGTGGCTCCAGGGCGCTTCACAGACCTTCATTGGAAAGCGGCAAAGCGAGTACTGCGTTATCTCCAGGGCACCAAGTCTCACGTCCTCACACTCGGTGGGCTCTCCCCTCCTCGGCTGGAAGGTTACATTGACTCCTCTTGGGCCGATGACCAGACCGACCGACGCTCCTCTCAGGGGTACTGCTTCACCCTTGGGAGCGGAATTGTCAGTTGGTGCTCCACCAGGTCGTCAGCAGTCTCCCTCTCCTCCTGTGAGGCAGAGCTCTACGCTGGCACCATGGTTGCTCAAGAGGCCCGTTGGCTCACCTTCCTACTCCAGGAGCTTGGCTACCCTCAGTCTACCCCCACCCTCTGGTGTGACAACCAGAGTACTATCCACCTCTCCCAAGACCCTGTGTATCACACTCGCACCAAGCACATCGAACTTCGGCACTTCTTCATCCGTGACCTTGTTCAGCGGGAGCAGCTGAACGTGGAGTACGTTGCATCTGACTGCAACCTGGCTGATCTGTTCACCAAGCCCCTTGGGAAATTTCCTCACCACCGTCTCCTTGGCGCCATGGGGCTCTGTGCTCCACCTTCTCTACCCTGAGTTCGATTGACGCCTATGGGGAAGTGTTGGTGTTAGCCCTCAATCTCACACTTTGTACTTTATATTTTCTATATCCTAGAGTAGTGTAGTTTGCACTTTGTGTTTGGTTGGGTGTACACCTACATCCCAACCACACCCAAATGTAATCTCCAAAGCAATCTCCAACCCACCAATTGGAGATTGCCTTGGGATTACCCCCAATCCCTAGGGATTGCCCCCGATTCCCTTCCCCATCCATTCCTTGCCCTTCTTGGATGTACTTAAAGAGCTCCAAGCTCATTACTAATGTATCAGTTCTAAGCCTAAGTTCTGCCACCCAACTCCCACCCCATCCCACCCACCTCGTGTGAGCCCCACATCAAAGTCGCGCACGGTCTTGGCCCGTGCAACGAGCTCTATGTCATACTCGCCTCCCAGCCCCTCAAACAGAGGGGCGTGGCTGGGGGGGGGCAGAGGGCATGGAAAGGGAAAGGAGCGGAAATGTGAGTCGCTTAGACCGTCTTGGCTCGTGCAACGAGCTCTATGTCGTAGCCCCTCAAACAGAGGTGCGTGGCTGGTGGAAGGGGAGGGATGGAAAGGGAGACGAGTGGAATCTTGAGTCGCTTTGTAGGTATTGGCTCTTGCAACGAGTGCAGAACAGCACGGGTGTAGAACAGCACGGGTGTAGAACAACTGAAGTGTACAGCACGTACTTGGCGTAAATACCCCTGAGAGTCGATCCCAGCCGTTGATCATAGAAGTTGTTGAATCCGATGTGGAAGTTCCTATCAGCCAGCAAGAGGTCGAATGGATTGCAGAGAGAGATGGCTCCTGCCAGCGGCACCTCCTCTCCCTCCTGCCATGATCAGTGATGGGGCATGGAAGGGCATGTGGGGGCATGGACGATCAAAACAGGACCATGGTGGTGGGGGCAGGCGAGGGCGGCAGGGCATGTGGGGGTTTCAATCAGGCAGAACCAGGTGGAAGGGGTTGCAGAGCGACACGGCCCCTGACAGAGGCACCTCCTCTCCCTCCTGTAATGGTCAGTGATGGTCAGTGATGGGCAGTGATGGGCAGTGATGGGCAGTGATGGGCAGTGACGGTGGAATGAAGGGGCAGGTGGGCGCATGGACGGTTAAGACAGGACAGTAGTGGTGGGGGCAGGTACGACATTGACCTGGGCAGGGCATGTGGAAGTTCCTATCAGTCAACACGAGGTCAAAGGAGTTATGTTGCCTGCAGAGACAGATGGACACATAAGCAGACAACAAATCACCTGGGCGAGGTAGCGCACAATTCACACCACCAGGTCCCCACCTGACCCAGGTAGCGCACGAGGATGTTGGCCCCCAGAGACCATCCGGCCGCATAGAGGCGTGAGAGCGGCTGTAGTGCTGCCACGTGGCGCACCACCTGCCGTAGATCCTCGGTGAATGATGCGGAGTAGAACTGGGGAGGAGGGGCATGGGGCAGTAGAGCTGACTGTTGTGGCATCGGGCATGCATGTGGCATGCATGTGGCATGCATGTGGCATGGGGCATGGGGCATGGGGCATGGGGCATGGGGCATCCAGGATGCTGGCATGAAATGAATCACCTGCGGCGAGGTGACGGGGCTGTTGGCTGGAGCTGAGACCACTGTGCCCCACCCCGCCCCTCCGACTTGAGAGGAAGCATGCGGCTTGTGGCATGCACGACGCAGAATGCTGACATCACGTGAATCAACAAAGCACCGTGGGAGGGGATCGCCTACAGGGGAATCACCTGTGGCGAGGTGACGGGGCTGTTGGCGCAGCCCCTCGAGTTGAAGACCACAGTGCCCCACCCTGCCCGCCTGGCCCGCACCAGCATGTGCCTCACATACGTGTCTCCACTGCCGCCTGTCAGCCCCGGCTGGTGGGTGGGGAGAGTGGGATGGGATGGGATGGGATGGGATGAGAGCAGTCAACGCACCCGCATGTGCCACACATATGTACGTGTCACCATCACTGCCTCCTGTGAGGAGTCACCACATCTCATAGCAAGTTACATGATAAATCCCAGAACCAGTCACCAACGGCTCACCAGCAGGATCAGCCAGGGAGTGCCAGGTGGCACCTCGCCATTGGCCGACGTGCCTTCCAGCGCCTCGCCCCCTATCGGCCAATCAAGCGCCACCGTACCGCCATCCGCCATTCTCAGGCACTCCCTTCTGAACCGCACGGCTGGCAGGGAGCGCGCCACGGCTGCAAAGATGGTCTCCACGTGGCAGTTCGCCAGTGGTCCAAAGAAGGGCCTGTGCTGGAAAGTAGGAGAAGGGGCGGGACGAGGTTGCTGGTGTCAGTTTCAATTTTTCTACGTAGGGAATTCTGAAATTGTAATTCCAGGGTGACTTTCGAGTCAATTTTTTAGTTGACTCAAAAGTCACTTGTGTTTCAAACGACAGAAAATAATATCCAGTTTTTCTTCTACCCTTAGTCATTACTTGTCATTGCAATCACCTGTAAGGTTCTTGTAACGAGGGGAGTTGCCACGTCAGCTCCTGATGCACCTCTCCATTCCCGCCGACCAGTTTCAGCCCTTCCGGACTCCGCTTCGGCGTCCGGCCTCCGGGATTTCCGCCGGAGTTCCCGGCGCCATTCCCGCTAGCAACAGCAGCACTGTCTCCCGCAGCGCCACTCCTCGCAGCGACTCTTGAACCGCGAATTCCGGCGCCGCTCCCGCTCGTCGCGCTCCTCCTGCCGTCGATTAATCTCCTTCCATTTTTTATGGCAAGATACGCTATAAGCGCGCCGATTCCAATGGCTAAACCCACACCGCTGGTCAACGAAACACGACCAAGTCCAGCTAGGCTTGCGGTATGACGACACGTCGGATTCAGAGCACGTGCTGTCTCGCGGGGAACGCTATAACGCGAATAGTGGTTGGCTCGCGTAGCGTGTACGGACGCGAGGGAAGGTGGCCACGTGGAGCCTAGGAGGCGGCTGATTGGCTGAGATCGACGGGGGAGATTTGTCACGTAATTGTAGCGAGCTGATCGAATCGCCATTGGCCGTCCGCTCGTTTGACGGTTGCAAGGCTCGGCAACGGTCCCCCTACCGCCTCCGCGATCCGCGGCGCGAATCGCGCGCGGGGTTGAGCAGCTAGGAGACGACCATGTGGGTCGAAGGCATAAGGATGACGTCATTGTCGCCAATGATAGCCAATGAGATCGCTGCCGTCTCAGAGAAGCTGTTTGGCTAATCCAATCCGCCGCTACCGGCACCGGCTGCAGGTGAATCTGTCTCAAACCGTGCTGCGTACGTGGCAGGTCCGTTGTTGCTCGCCTGAAAATAGTTTCGCATTGGGGAATCCAACATAGTCTCGCGCTGGACCATAATAATATCGCTATTGTGCGATCCGGAAAACGAGAACTATCTGGCCTGGTTGAAGTCACGCATTTTGTGGTTCGTATTTCTAGCAAATGGCTTTTCTGCTGCAACCTCACAAATTCTGTGTTATGATAATATACTGCATTCTGTGTTAAGCTTTTGGATTAAAGAGTGGGTTTTTTACTGTACTAGAAGAATGTTTGATTTAATTGAATCAATTTAATAAATTCTTGTTATAATAATATACTGCATAACATAAGCTTTTGGATTAAAGAGTGGGATTTCACTGTACTCGAAGAAAGTTTGATTCAATTGAATTAATTAAGTCCATGTTGTTGTTGCGCCCCTTATCTTTCTTTTGAAAGCACAGTCGATGGGTTCACTGAAAGCGGCTGAACCAGGGTTGCTCTGCAACCAAGCCAGTCAAAGGGGAGTGGGCAAGGAAGGGGGTCAGATGAGAAAGAGGGGATGCGGAAAGGGACGGAAGGGAATATGAGGGAAGGGAAAAAGGACGGGCAAACAGCATCTTCCCACCCACAACAGAACACAAGAGACAGAAATGTACGTGGGAAGCAGTAGAACCATGCTTGCAAGCCCATGTTCCTGCACATGTACTCCCTCACACCTAGTGAAACTTTCGATTCGTTATGTTCCCACCCACATGCCTCCCAGGAACCTCATCCAACCAGGTACCACACCCACCATACCGACCAGAACCCACCTAGAGCCTCCTGTGCAGAAACCCTCCTCTTCTGATCCCGATCCAGCATCCGCAGAATCAAATCTTTCCCCTCCTCTGACACGCCCCTCCACGCCGACCCCTGAAACCCCACCTCCGCCTCCTTGATCGCCCTCGCCACCCCCGCCTCCGTCTCCGCCCAAAACGGCGGCACGCCGGCCAGCAGCACATACAGGACAACGCCCGCCGACCACACATCCGCCGGCGTCCCATACGACCCACCAATCACCTCCGGGGCAATGTAAAACAGCGACCCGACCGCATCGTTCAACATCTTCCCCCCGGGCTTGAGAAAAGTGGCGACGCCAAAGTCGATGATGCGCACGTCGGTGTGGGAGGAGGGGTGGGCGAGGAGGATGTTTTCGGGCTTGATGTCGCGGTGCACCACGTGGTGGCGCTGGTGGCAGCTCTGCAGCACGCCCAGCACCGCGCGCATCACCAAAGCCGCCTCCCTCTCGCTGTACCGCCGCCGCTCCTTGATGCGCTCGAATAGCTCGCCGCCCGAGCACAGCTCCATAATCAGGTGGATGGCGTGGGGGGTTTCGATCGCTTCCTCTAGGTGGATCACGTTGGGTTGCGATTTGAGGAGGTTTAGGATGGCCACTTCGCGACGCACGTTTTCTACGTCGGACTTGCACTGGTTGTTGAGGGGTTGGGGCAAGAAGGAAGGGGAGAGCATGGAAAGGGAGAGAGAATGGGACGGGGTGGCGCTGATGGCAGCTCTGATGTGTTTTTTGAGAATTCTCAAAAACCACAGAAAGGGACAGAGAGTGGGACGGGGTGGCGCTGGTGGCAGCTCTGGTTTAGGATGGCGACTTGGCGACACACGGTTTTGATGTCGGACTTGCACTGGGGTGTGGAGGGGTGGAAGCAAGAGCATGGGAGGGGGCCGAGCATGGGAAAGGGTAGAGCATTGGTGAGGGGGAAAGGGGAAGCAAGAAGCACGAGGCAGAGAGGGGAGATAACAAGAGATGCACGGACGAGGAAACGAGGAGTCGAGAAGACGAGAAAACAGACGGAGCAGAAACAACACACACCTTGAAGGCAGCCTTGTTGATGGTCTTGCATGCGAGCCGCCTCCCAGTGCTCCGACACACCACCACCCGTGTCACCCCAAACTGCCCCGCACCCAGCTCCTTCCCTCCCTCCAGCTCATACCGCTCCTCCAACTCCCCAAACTCCCCACCCAGCACATTCACCCCCACAACCCCCACGCCCATGCCAGCAGCAGCGGCGCCAGCGGCAGCACCGGCAGCAGCAAGGAGTTTGGAGAAGGAGGAGAGGCCCTTGGCTGCGAGGCTGAAGAGGCGGCTGCGGCTGGCCTTGAAGAACCGTGTTTGGATGTGCAGCTCAGCCTCCTCCCACTGGCCTCTCTCGTCTGTTTCTGCGTCTGCCTCCTCGCGTGTGCCTGGGGCTGAGCCGGCAGCACCAGCATCAGTAGCAGAATTGGTTCCAAGCCTTGCCTCTCGCCTCGCCTCCCATCGGCCACTACCCGCTGCGTTTGCTGCGGCCTCGCCTGTGGCAGCAGGCGACCCAACTTCCCTTCCATCCTCCCTCCCTCCCGGACTCAATTCTTCCGGCTCTGCCCAGGTAGCCGCCCTCCTGTGCCCGCCTCTCTCCCCGCCTCTCCCTCTTCCTCTGCCTGAACCATCCCCTGTAGAATCCTCGCTCCCTCTCTCTGCCGAACCACTCACATGCTTCACAAGCCTTCTCCTGGCAATTCTTTCAGACCCCACCCTCGTCCTGCCGTCTCCCACTGCTTCTGTGCTGCCCGGACTGCTCTGGTTACTCTGGTTACCCTGGTTGCTCTGATTGCCTGGGCTGCTTGATTCTGCTTCTGCTTGGTGTTTGCTGCATCCCATACCTCCCGATACTGAGTCCATGGATTTACTATGGGACCGATTCCCAGGTCTTCTCTGCTGCACTTCCCCTCTTCTCACACCCTCACCCACTCCCCTCGCTTCTCTCGCTCCTCCTGCTACTCCTCCTCCCCTCCCTCTTCCCCCTCCCCTTCCCTCGATCCTGCCTTCCACCGTCCTGGCTCGGGATACCCGACCCAAAACTCCATCAGGCAAATTCTCAGCCTCGGCAGCGCAGGCTCGGCCCGAACCTCGAACCCGTTCGTCTAGGGATTGCACCCTGTTCACCTCACCAACACCATCCCAACCCGGAGAATACTCAGGTTCGGGAGATTTGCCTTCCGGAGACGAACCCTCTGCTTCGGCGGAGCTCTTGCTCCGGGGGTAGGCGTGCCGGGCCTTGGAGGCAGGTCCGGTGGGCGAGGCGTGGGGGGGAATGCAGGTGGGGGAGAGAGGCGGGCGAGAATCCTTCTTTCTACTCGCGCCCTGGAAGGCTGGTGGGGTTGGCGATGTGCCATAGTGCCTTCCAGCGTCTTGGGAGGGGGAGTGAGGAGAGAAAGGGTGGCGAGGGAGAGAGTGCGGAGAGGGAGAGAGCGGGAGCGGGAAGGGAGGAGAGGAGGAGGAAGGGCTATCGTGCAGATCAATCTGAGTTCCAGGCGCGTCCGCGGGGGCTGCAGCAGCCAAGGGCGGGCGGGGGGACGCGACTGGCACTGGCGGCGCGGATTCGAGAGGCATATCCGCTAAGCTGATCTCGCGCTCCCACCCGCTCGCCACAACCGTACTCGATACAAGCGTTCTCGCTACAGTGCCCGCCCAGTCATCCGCGAATGACGGCTCGCACCCGTCGCTGCCTCCTCTCCTCCTCTCGCGCCTATCCATTCCCGCGCGACCCCAGTCGTCTTCTTTAACTACTGAGTGCCCGTCACTAAGATCCATCGAGTCGCCTCTCCTAGTTGACCTTTCTATTGCCGACACGCCGCGCAAAGCTCTTGGGCTACGGCTGGAGCCGCTGCTAGCAATGGTGTTTCCGCCGTGAATCTCGCTGCTGTTACACGTAGTGCTTGTACCGCGGTCCGCGGCCTTTCCGAGACACCCGGGCGGGTGAAGACACCCGATGTCAGGAAACGACACCGACTTTTTTACGTGCCCGTTTTTCTGCCCGAGCGGCTCGCCCTGCTGCCCGTGAAATGATTGCCGCTGCTGCCCGTGCAAGCTCCGCGCGGAGCAGCCACCTGACAACGAAGAAAGCTGCTGCGCGCCTTTCGGCGATTTGATCGCCTCCGGTCGACTACCGTCAGGCCTATTCACCTCCTGACTCTCTCTGGCGGAAACTGCGCCTGCGCCCCAGATTGGCGCGGGGGGGGACTTGGGCGGAAGGAATGCCGCGGAAGGGGGCGGCGCGGAGGATGATCCGAACGAGCGAGTCGCGGCCCGGGAGATCGATCCCGCCAAAACCGATTGCGAGGACGCGAACGCCGCCGTCGCCAGCGGCGTTAATCGCGGGCTGCGTTCCGCGCCTTGCCGCGGAGTCCTGGCGGAGCCTGTCGCGGGGGAAGCGACCGTTACAACGTTACTGTCGCTTGCGTCGTCGATCTGTAGCGTCAGTGGGCGACGTCGCGGCAACAGCACCGGCGACGTTTCCGTTTCCGTTTCCGTCGCTTTCACGCACAAGATTCCGTCGATGTCCGGATCGAGCAAACTGACTGTAGCGGCATGATTCTGCTGCCGCAGCTGCTGCTGTAGCGCCTGCTCCCACGACGGCGCATTAGCGACAATCGTCGCCGCGCGAGTTTTCAGCTGCTGGCGCCGCTCTTCCCTATGCCGCCGCTCCTCCTCTTCCTTCTGCCGCCGCTCCTGCTGGCGCAGTTCTTCCGCGCGCCGTTCTTCCTCCCGCCGCAGCTGCTCCGCGCGGAATTCCCGCGCGCCTGGCATCCCAGCGGTTGCGATGATCGTCGCCGCGCGGGTTACCAGCTCCTGTTTTCGCTGCTCTTCGTTCCGCTGCCTCTCCAGCATCTCTTCCCGCGCTTTCTCCCGCCGCTCCGCCTCCTCCCGCTGCTGGCGTAACTCGTGCGCCGTCGGCTGGTGCAGTCGCTCCATCAGCTCCCGCGCTTTCGCCATCCGCTGCGCCGCGGCCGCCGCCGCCGCCTCCGCAGCAGTCTCCGCCGCTTCCGCCGCCTCCGCCGCTGCGTAAAGCTCAGCAGCCGTGGGAGCGACCGGCGGAGGCGCATTTGCCGCTGCCACGGATGCCGCCACCGCCGCCGCCGCTGTCGCGACTCGTGCGCCCAGATCCGCTCCCGCCGACCCCGCCGCGGACGAGCGCCTGCGGAGGTTGCGCTCATGCGCTGCGCTCGCCGATGCGGGGGGAGGTCTGGAGGAAGATTTTCCGCCAGCGCCCAGCGAAGCGGAGCGGGGGAAGGAAGGCTTCTGGCCGCGGGTTTGCGGACGGGAACCGGTGGGGGCGAAGGCGCCGGGAGCGGCGGCGGGGGCGGGGCTGAAATCCGACGGTAAATGAAAGTCCCTATGCGGTGAATCCGCGCATGCGGTGCCCTGAAAATCCGCACATTGCTGCGGCAAATCGGAGCAGCTCCCGCGGTAAACGCGGCCCGAACCCGAAGGGATCCGGGTGGGGCGACGATCGAGCGCTGACTGCATGATCGAGCTTCACGTACTAACGGGTCGGGGGAGAGGGAATGCTATCTATCCACACGCATCACAGACACGAGCGCGTACGTGCGCGGTTGGCTGCATGTATTCCGTTACCTGAGTAAATTCGAAGTCGGCTTGACAGAAGTCGTAACGCCGCGAGGTGGATGAACGGATCTCCGGAAGGGTTCAGCATTGCGAAAGGTGGAACCGTGAATCCTCGGAAACATCACAGTGGCGAGAGCTGTAGCTTGGCTCCGGGCCTGACTTTATCGGGGAATGCCGGTTTGATCAGTTTCACCACCTCCTAGGTCTCAAACAAGTCAGAGTCAAGCAGTGAGTATGTAAATCTCATTCCGATCATGTGGGACGCGCCAGTGGTGGAGGAGCCGCGAAGGCAGCCGTGTGAGTCGTGAAGTGAGTGACCTCTTACGAACCTGTGGATTCTGGAACTTCCGCGTGAGGTGCAGCACAGCATGAAAGGGGCACATCAGCGACGCGGAGGCGGATCGTAGGTTGCCTGCTGCTGAGGCGGAGGCATGACATGCAACAGCCATGGTTCGTCGTCGTACACGGTCCGCAGTTCGTGGCGTTTGACCCACTCTTGCACTTCGGGCATCGAGTGTGTATTTCCGTCTCAGGAAAAAAAACGACGTTCTCATCTTCTAAGCACTACTTAGATCTTATATAGTGCCCTTTCCAGCATTTGGGATGCTCCAAATTTGCGAAATAGTTCGTGTCACATGTCACAGCCCCGCCTTGTACACAGTTGGCGCATAAAAAATTCCTCGGTCAACACAGAACAGTCAAACAGCGGGAAAAATCACCACATCGAGATGGTTCAAAATTGATGGGAGCAGGGAACACCACGTCGATGGCTGTTTTTGCTGCGAAGGGAAGGGAACCTGGTTTGGCTGGCTGGCTTGGCTAGTTGTCAAGGAAAGTGTGGATTTCTGGTTGTATCTTCTGGATTCTTTAGAAGTTCCGTTGGAGGAAACTGTTTCTTAGATGGCCTGTTATGCCATCCAAGAGGGGCTCGCATTGTTTGCCTTTAGGTAGCGCTACGAGACAAATGCCTGGGTGGAACGAACGGCGTCGAGCTGACGCTTGTGAATCCACTGCTCATACATCTTTTGTGGCGCAGGGTTCATAGTGGTGGGTGGCGTTTTAAGGCGGTGGAGCATGCAAACCTCTCTGAAATTCAGAGCTTCAGCGGTCCTTCCAGCGAACGAGGAACTCGACTCGATCCTCTTCATGCCTGTGGAGTGTCGAATCCGATGGCTCATTATTTTCTCGGGCTCAACGATCGGCTCCGATGCAGGGCGAGTCATGGATGGCGGGCAGTGACGAGGCAGTTGGCTCGTGGTTGGGATGTAAGGGAGAAGCAGGCTGACGTGAACGATGGGCTGATGTACCAGTCTGTCGGCAACAATAAATGGGCGGTAACTGGGGTGATCATGTGGCTGATTTGGAACGGTCCACAATATCGCGGTCGAAGTTTATGTACGACGGGCAGTCTTAGATTCTGGGCGGCGGTGGCGGTCAGCGTTTCTCTTAGCGATGACATTTTCCCTTTTAATCGCTTCTACGGCTCTGGTGCGGGCAGCTTGCAGAATCTCGGCAAATTACAGTGCGCGTGGTGTTGGGTTGTCCGGACTCGGCGTCATGGGCACTGTTGGATTTTGCCCGTAGTTCAGGTAAAACGGGGACTGCTGCGTCGTCGCTGACGTGGCGTTGTTGTTGGCGAACTCGATCAGCGGCAGCTGCTGCTCCCATGTTGTCGGGTCGTCGCACGTGGCACGAATCAGCTGCTCCATGGTTTGATTCGTCCGCTCCGTTTGACCGTCGGTCTCGGGGTGGTATGACGAGCTGAACTGTAGCCTGGTCCCGAACTGCTCCCAAAGGTTCTTCCAGAAGTTGCTGGTAAACTTCGTATCGCGGTCGCTGATTATCGCGGCTGGTATCCCGTGCAGTCGAACGACGGTTGCGATGAACAGGCGAGCGGTTTCTTCGGCTGAGATCGATTTCCTGCACGCAGCGAAGTGAGCCATTTTCGTCAGTCTGTCAACGACGACCATAACCGTGTCGTTGCCCCCAGGGTTCAAAGGTAACCCCGTGACGAAATCCATGGTAACCTGCTGCCAAGCGCGCTCGGGCGGTGGAATCGGCTGCAACTGACCCGCCTTCTTTTTTTCGCGAGCTCTTCTGCAACTGACCCGCCTTCTTTTTTTCGCGAGCTCTTCATCACCTGACACATAGGACACGAGCCCACGTGGTGATGTACGCCGGTCAACAGCTCCGGCCAGTAGTAATACCGTTGCAGTTGCTGTCACGTTTTTTTCTACCCCGAAGTGACCCGAGGTAGCCCCGTCATGTGCCTCCTGCAGTAGCAGTTCCTGTCAGATTTATATGACATAGCTACTGTAGGCTATAGTGGGGTAGCACATATGGGGTACAGTTTTCTAGGGTTTGCATTTGTACCCAACTTTCCCTTAGTCAATTCATTCTCGTTCAGTTTCTCATGGTATCGAGCAGGTTCCCCTGTGGGAACTGTTCCTAGGGCCCACCACCTTTTTTTTTCCTGCCCGGAGCGCGCTCTACACTGCCCGAGTCGCGCTCCCCTCTCTCGACCCTGTCGCGCCGCCTTAGCGGCCCCGTCGCGTCGCGCTTGCGGCCCCGTCGCGTCGCCCTCGCGGCCCCGATCCGCCGCCCTCGCGGCTCCTTCGCGTCGCGCCGCCCTCGCGGCCCTTTCACGCCGCCCTCGCGGCCCTTTCTAGCCGCCCTCGCGGCCCTTTCTAGCCGCCCTCGCGGCCTCTTCAAGCCGCCCTCGCGACCCCCCCCCTCCTAGCCGCCCTCGCGGCCCCGTCGCCTACCCCTGCGGCCCCGGCGCCGCCCTTCCCTGCCTCGGCGCCGCCTCTGCTGGCCCCGTCGCCTACCCCTGCGGCCCCGGAGCTGCCCTTCCCGGCCCCGGCGCCGCCTCTACTGGACCCGACGCCGCTCCACCCGGCCCCGACGCCGCTCCACCCGGCCCCGACGCCGCTCCACCCGGCCCCGACGCCGCTCCACCCGGCCCCGCCGCCGCTCCACCCGGCCCCGCCGCCGTCCCCATGCGGCCCCGCCGTCACCACCGAGCCGCCGGCGCCGCCGAGCTACTGCCGAGCCGCCCGATCCACCCGAGCCGCCCGAGCCGCCGCGCCACCTGAGCCGCCCGAGCCGCCGGGTCGCTGAGCCGCCGAGCTGCAGTTGCTGCCGAGCCGCCGTACCGCCGAGCCGCCCGAGCCGCCCGAGCCGCCGAGTCGCCGAGCCGCAGTTGCTGCCGAGCCGCCGTACCGCCGAGCCGCCCGAGCCGCCGAGCCGCCGAGCCGCCGAGCCGCCGAGCCGCCCGAGCCGCCCTGTCCGGTAAGAGCAGCGCCTCTGTCACTGCACTGCCCTTACCCTACTGTTCGCGCTGCTAGTCTACTGCTGTCATGGCTACCCCTAGTGTCCTCGCTTTTGACGCTGAGGGTCGGGCCATTGACTTTGACGTCTGGGTAGATGACCTGCAGCTTTTCCTACAGTGCGATAGGGCAGACGGTCTCTCCCTCTTTGACCTCACCTCTGGTGCCTCTCCTGCCCCTGCTGCTGATGCCGACGCCACTGTTCGCTCACAGTGGGCCACACGCGATGCTGCTGCACGTCTTGCTGTGCGTCGCCACCTGCCTACCTCTGAGCGTGCGCACTTTAGCCAGTACAAGAGTGCTCACACCTTGTACGACGTTGTAGTTGCGCGCTACTCCTCCCCTGCCACTGCTGCACTGAGCCGCCTCATGCTACCGTACCTCTTCCCTGACCTTGCTGCCTTTCCCACAGTCGCTGACCTCATTACGCACCTCCGCACTAGTGACACTCGCTACCGCGCTGCGCTTCCTGCTGAATTCTGCGCCAAGAACCCCCCCCCCCATGTACATCACCCTCTACTACATAGTCACCCGGCTCCCTGACTCCCTTCGCGTAGTCAGGGACCACTTCCTCTCAGTTTGCCCCACCACTCTCACCGTTGACCTCCTCGAGAAGGCCCTCCTAGCAGCAGAGAAGAGCATAGTCGCTGTAGGAGCCTCTCGTGGTGACCCTCGCACCCCCGTCTTTGAGGGGTGTTCCCCCTCCCCCCTTTTGCCCTCTGTTGCCTCTGCTGCTGCGGCCGACCTCGTTGGTTTCGAGTCGGTCGGCGCTGCGTCTGCCCCGAGCGGGAGACGCCGCACCGGCAAGGGCAAGGGGGGCAAGGGTGCTGGAGGGGTTGGCGGGGGTGGCGGAGGTGGCGGTGGAGGCAGTGGAGGGGGTGGGGGTGGTGGTGGGAGTGGTGGCGGGGGTGGAGGTGTCGGTGGCGGCAGTGGAGGCGGAGGCGGCGGCGGCGGTGGCGGTGGGAGCGGAGGTGGCGGAGGTGGCGGCGGTGGAGGAGGCGGCGGCGGAGGAGGTGG